TGTCCACCGAGGGGAATCGAACCCGCTGATTTTGAATTTGTAACTCCGAAGACTTATCGCTGTTCCACCGGGAGACAATTTCTGACCATTATACAAAGTTTAAAGCGAGAATAAACAATGAATTCGATTTAATCAAAAGACGCTCCCCTCAGTGGCACAACGGTATGTCTGCGGACTTACAACGCTAGAAACCGGGTTTCGATACCTGTGGTGGGCAGAGCACGGATGGCCCATTGTGAAGCTTTGCGCTTAACTATAAAAGACGGGCGCTTTTCTTTGATTACACAGGGCAACAACAAAAACAAATTTCTCTGCTACTAGAAAACATTAAATTGTTTCTGGGTAATTTGGTAATGCTGATTCTAAAAATCACATTAAAAATTACTGATCATTTTTAGTTTTCGAGTTATGATAGATTTATTGCATATAAAAATGTGTAATCTGCATGCTTTGATAAGTTTCTGTCACGTTCACAGCATGAGAAACAGGAATCGATGGCTTAGTGTTCCCAGTATGCAAAAGTAAAGCTTTCAGACTAATTTTAGATGAGTCGATAAAAAGTATCTATTCTTGAGGATGATGTTCAGTACCAAATGCTTCCATTAGTGCATCAACATTTGTACAGAAACACAAAGTATCTTACATACTGTAGTCAGAAGCAAGACTTTGATGGCAGCTTCGGTAAATTGAAACTCTTGTTCCTGGAGCTAATAAATTCCATTGCTGTAAACAAGAGCCAAGAAGTTCCCCATGCTGCTTTGATAGAGACAAGTCACGAATCAGATCATTTAGCTCTTCTTGTGTGATCAGATGAGGCAATTTATGCTGAGGTACCACAGGAATAGAATTACTAGATGAAGAGGACGAAGATGATTCGTTGTCTTCTTCGCAGGATAACTCTTCTGTTTCCCAATTCGCAGGTGGATGTTGTACTGGAGGACCATCCCCATCAGGTACTGGTTTCATTGTAGATGCACTATCTGGATATTTAATGTATTGTTTAGTTTTTGACTGAATATCCAGAAACATTAGTTGTGCAAAAATTAACAGTCAGTGAGATTATCTTTGGGCACACACCATGGAAACTGCAAATGGCATACTTGCTCTCTTCTTATTCAGCCAATGCGCAAACTGTACAACACACATGTGAAGCCCAGTTTTTTTCTTGGTCCCCAATTTTACACTCAAAATAGTGGTAGTAAGCTACTGTTACGTATCTGCTTGTTTGTTAATTTCCGGTAGAAATTCTTTCCGAGGAACTTCAGTGATACAAGTCCTTTCTTGCTTAAATCAGTTTATTCCTTCTCGATATAAACTTTAGTACACAGTAATTTCACAATCAATACGTTTCTCGTCACTTTAAACTTAACAACTTCTATAATACACGCTATAAATCACGGCGATTCACAATCTCGATAAGACACACTAACTCGAAACAGAATCGTAAATTACCCGAAACTCTCTTCATTCAATCCCGCAGGCTTTCCCTGCCAGGCTTATATACTAAAAAAGAGAGCGTCTCGAACAAACTCGGTCTTCCCCAATAATTCATGATCATTCGAGAAATTCATCACGTGTTTACCAGAGTCACGTGACTTCCGCTGTCGTAACACTACCTTTACCTTGTGTGTGATGTTTTTCCTTCGTGAAACTGCTATATATTTTCTACAAATGTAATAGAAACTGTTTGGGTAATTTTTGCACTTTCGGACTTTACTTGAACTGGAGGCAGCTAGCATTTCAAATGATTTTATAAAAAATATAAAATAATTTATGTTTACAGAACTAGAGCTTAAAAGATTAAAAAACAACAACAGAAACTGATTAAATCGCGGGTATGATGTGAGGAAGAAGATCGGACCGTGTTTTGAGAGAGAGGCGTCTGATTCCACCCCTTTTATGCTCAGTTGAAGGATGTTCTCGAATGTTCTAGCAAACTGAGTATCTGAGGTTTTCGTGATTCCCAGGCGAAGCAGATGAGCGTGCGAATGAAGCAAAAATGTAGCAATTCGCTACAATTACATCGAGAACAAATAGAATATATGAACAATTTGACATTTTACACCAATACAATACAGTCAATGTTTGAAATTATCAAAAATGTATGCCTTTTACCCTTTATATTGTCCAATTAAACTTAATTTCACAGCATAAATATATTGTACTGAGTTGGTTATATGGTATTTCACATAGTGCTGATAAAATATTGATATATCACAATAACTGAAAATCTAGAGGAAATGGACAAATTCTGACTATGTTTTTGAAATTAACACCATCAAATTATCCAGAATCACTTGAGTTTTCTCCAATAGCAAATTTTTTGTTGTCCAGTGGTATTTGCCTTTGTTCTTTGCTATTTAATATATCATATAGAGGAGGGTTCATATATTATTTGCAAAAGACTAAAAAAATGGGCATAAAACGTAATTCACAACTTTTCCGTATCTCTGTAGTGACATACACAGTCATCAACTTATGAAGTAAGTTTGTTTGTTTCCTTTTAATTAAGCACAAAGTTACACAATGGGCTATCTATGGTCTGCCCACCACGGGAATCGAAATTCGGATTCTAGTGTTGTAAGTCCGCAGACATACCGCGGTGTCAATGGGAGGCTATGAAGTAAGCTCTCATTAAATGAAATTCTCAGACATTGCATAATAGCGAGCAACAAAATAATTAATCTGGACTTCCTAGCATTGCAAAACTGAAAACAAATAGCAATGGATACTAATTTAATCACCATTATTGTTATTATATAATGCTTATGATATAGTCTACTTTTGGAAGAAAAAAGAAAGGCTTAAGAATGTTCGAACCAAATACTGGCCACATTTCTTTTCCTTATAGTATTTTTAAAATTTAAATTTAACCTTTATATCACTAAACAATTATAAATCTATAATAAAAATGAAATGTAAATACTGTTTTACTCATTTCCCAGATAAGTTGTTTGATAAGCTTGTGAAACCTTTATTTTAAGGATAGGAAGTTTCGTTATAAATGTAGCAGCGTAAATTCTTTGCTAGTTTACACATGATATTAATATAAACCAAAACTGTAGGATAACAGTTACAGAATATTTAAGAAAAATCATATTTTATTTTTTGCTTTCATCTATAAAATTTAGAAATAAACAAACAACAAATATCCTCTTTCAGACTCTTGCTTTAAAAATAAATTCACTCTACCTTTGGTGATCAGAGGTGATGAAAGTCTTATAACAAATAAATTAAGAGAAATTGAGAAACTTTATAACTCAAATGTTCTTGAAATACAGATCTCCGGTCTTTAGGATAAATTGGAATTTTGTATACTGTTACGACAGCGGAAGTCACGCGACGCTGGGAGCATGCGCGCTGGAGTTTCTCGAAGGATCATGAATTATCGAGGAACTCCGCAAAGGTCTGAGTGTTTGCTAGACGCCCTCTTTTTTTAGTATATAAGCCTGGCGAGAAAAACCAGCGGGATCAGAAGATATATAAATATATTGAAGAGATAGAACAGTAGGCACCGTAAGTAAAGTGTGTGAATCACTGTGATTTATAGCGTGTGTTATAAAGGTTGTGAAGTTTAAAGTGACTGTGGAAATTCTGTGTATTACAAAAAAGTTGTATCGAGAAAGAATAAACTAGTTTTAATCGAGAAATGATCTTGTATCGCTGAAGTTTCTCGGAAAGAATTTATACCGGAAATTAACAAACAAGCAGATACGTAACAATACTTTGTGCCCTGGTGGGATAACGGTAAGTCTACGGACTTACAACACTAAAATACGGAGTTCGATTCTCCGAGGTGGACGCAGTAGATAACCAAATGTGGCTTTGCTCTAAAAACAAACAAATGGTCTATTTTTGACAGAGTGTGTTTTAGCCTGTCGTGGTTGAAATTACATATAGTGAATAAAATGTTTTAAGTTACAAATTAAAGTAAATATTTTTGTTGTTGTTGTTAATTGGAGAGTTTATAACGAGCGTATACCATTTGAAATCATTGCATATATTATGGTTTGTTTTGTTTATCCACAAAGCCACATTGGGCTATCTGCTCTCTCTAACTTGGGAAATCAAATCCTGTATTTTAGCGTTGTAAGTTTCGTAAATTTACCACTGACCCAAAAATCCCTAACAAAGTGTGCGCATGCTCATCATATTAGCATACATAGCCTACCAGTGGTACAGTTGTATGTCTGTGGACTTACAACGCTAAAAACCGGGTTTCGATACCTGTGGTGGCCAAAGCACAGATAGCCCATTGTGTAGCTTTGTGCTTAATTACAAACAAACTGTTATATAATTTAATTTACTTTCATTCAAAGCTAGAAAAAGTTCTCTGAAAGTTTGATTGAATATTCTAAGCCTTGACTTATACGTCGATGTACTGGTAGGTGTGCTTTGTTGCTGTGAACAGCGATTTAGGCTTATTACTGATAGCTTTGATCGTAGATTTCTGTAGTGTCGTGCACGCAAGGTAGTTAATCTTATTTTTTCAGCCGGCTTTACCCTAATTAATTCACTAATTTATTGCGGAATGGGCCATCCATTAGGCCTATTTGAATTATTTTCACCATTTCCTTAGCCATGAAATATGATTTGTTAGGGTCTATAGGCGTAGGCTTTATCGACGTGCCCCTTAAAAAAATCATCTAAGTATAGGCTTACGGCGGTACCACCATTATAGTTCTAGGCCTAATAGAAAAGCTAGGCTGGGAAGTATTGCCTGTGGTGACAGTAGTATATTATGTAGTAGTCACTACGAAAAATGTTCACGAAAACGTTGTGGTCAAGCATAACCATATTAATCTGTTACAAATGGAAAACAGTCGGTATTATTAATTAATGTGTATTGTTAAAAATATTTAAAACAAATAAAGTATCAATATTAATAACAGTAAAGAGCTTTTATGTTTAAGCTTATTATTAGCATTGTTTATTTAAAAATACTTTTAGTTTGAAAAATAGCACAAATTTCTTCGCAAAGCACAGAATTTCCACCAGGTGAGTTAACATATGGATTCTGTAACACATCCGCATGATAAAATATGAGTAACATGCGTTATACTAGCCCAGCAGGTGTCGATTTATTAGTTTATAAACATGGCCTCCGAAGGAAATCTTCCTCATGAGGCAACTCGCCGACTTCAACCAAAGAAACAAACTTTAGATGATGCTTATGCTGCTCCAGCAAATTTTCTAGAAATTGATGTTTTTGAACCAGTTATACGCGGAGTTGCACGGAAACGGTATACTGATTATGAAGTTCGAATGAGGGTACGTCTTGAGTTGAAGTTAAACCTTAACACTAAAAGTAACTAAGTTAATTTAACATTAAAGTTTTACACTTTCAAATTCACGCAAACTTTGCAAAAGATTAATTAAGACATAATCAATAATCGTAAACTTGCATAATAAAGTCTAAACTTTAAGAAGTGATATTTTAATTGTTTATTCTTTTTCTTATTTTCACCTACAACGGTACAAGCCTAACTACCTTTCTTCCACTAATACTAAATTACTATTTCACAAGTGTGCTAGATTAAATAAATAAATAGTTTTAAAGTATAAAATAAATTGAATTTTTTTTTTCTATGTAATTAAATGGTCAAATATGAAATAGCTTTAGTTTAGGGATTTTTTTTAAATTTTACTTTCAGTGACCTAAGAATACTAAATGACCATTTAGTACTTAATATTAATTAAGGGGTAAAATCCTGCAGTGAAATTTTTGCTTGAAATTATGGTATCTTATCTCCATTAATACTTTATTCCAACCAAAACGATTGCTGTATCATTCAACATTATATAAAGAGGAGTATATATATATATATATATTATTTTTTTTTTAAACTTTGAAATAAAATTAGGATAAGTAAGAAATCAAAATTATTTCTTGTATTTAGCTATTTTTCAGAAACGTTTTTCTCGGGACTTAACCATTGTTAAAAGGTGTGGCTAACACAAGTAAACTTACTTCTTGCACAGGGGGCAAACAAAATATTAAGGTTTATTTAATATCATCAAACTGTGTCCTCCAGTATGAGAGGTAGAAACTGTTGTTAGGACTATTACCAATCAATACAATCTGTTAATTTTTACTTTTAGTATCAAGCTTGAATTCAGATGTGAACACTTGAGAACAGACTTTAGTGTTTTGGATTTGTTTTTCTGAAGTGCAGAAATAAAGGAAAATTATAGCCATTGTAATTGTTCAAAATCATTTTTAAGGTATTAAAATAAATAGTGTTCTTATACCATCTTTTTTGAAGAAGTTGAATAAAAAAATGGTTGAGATACAAACTAGAATACTAGGGATAATTAGTTGGGTCAGCTTTAGTCATTGTGAAGTCATATGTAAGCATCATGTGAACCATCCTTTATATCTAAAGGAGTTTACACACTCTTCCCTTTGAGCAGATGTGATATCACCACCAAGCACAAAGCCTTTTACTTATGTTGCTACAGCTATAAGAACTTGCATAACATATTGCATTCAGAAAGATCAAATGTAATTTATATATATATTATACTTTGTAATTTGCTGAATCTGTGAGAGGAAATGCTATACATTTTGCACAGAGCCATTGAAATTGTTGAATGATAAATAACATCAATTTTACTAGACTATAAGGTAAGCACTTTGTTTGTATAATTGCTAGACTAAACAGGGAACTAAATATCCATTTCTCAAATACAGTTAACTTAGTTCCTTTTAGATTCTTGTTAGTTATCAAACATGGACAATGTAAATTTTGATGTCCAGTATAAAAGACTATATGAAAGTGTTATTTTTGTGCTACTAATAAGATATCTACACTACAACTTGCCAAAAGAGTTGCGTATTAGTAATGTTAGTGTTACTACTAGCGTTATAATTAGAATGTAAGATCTTACCTTTAATATGTAGTCATATATGTATACCAAAATGTATAATGAACTATTAAACTTAACTATTGAACAATTTTGCTTTATCTTTTCAACACCAATCTTCACTCACTTAGTGAAAAATGGCACAGTGTCTTTTCAATTTAGATTGACCTCGTTCACTATACAACAGATATCACCATTTCACCAGATTAAAATCAGAGCTCAAATGAGTGAAATATGTTTTATTATTTATAAACATTGGCCTTCATGTAATTGTAAGAGACATTGTGTATGATCAGTTTCTTAGCACTACAGTGCCTTTAACAGTGCTGGGAATTGTAGACTTGAATAACTGGTTAGTTAAAGTGGTGGAATGATGAGGCTGAAAGTGGAAGCTTAAATATTAGTCCTAATAACCTTGAGCTTTGAGAATCCAAGTCTTGACTTGTTCTTAAAAAAATATCCATGTTAATAGTTATAAGCTTGTGTAAGTGCTTGCCATGTCATGGTGTTAAAAAAAACATTAAATTTAATTTACATGGACTTCACTGAAGCAGTACAAAAACCTATGTCTCATAAATAAAGTATATCAACAGATTATGTGTAGTATAGAAAGACTAATATTTTAATATATACTACACCCTTAAATGTGAACTCTTTATTTTACCATCACTTTGAGATACAGTGCCTGATTATGAGTTATTTCTTCTTCTATAGTTGTTAGATGTTTTTTGTATTCCCTTCAAACATCTCACATGAACTTATCCATGTAATTTGATGACACTGTTGGAGGGTATATCATTCATTCTTAAATAGTTACCAAATGAAAAATTTAAATCCTTTTGTCTAGTTTACCTGTTTCTTAATAATCATTTAAGAAATGAAAACCTTTTTTAAAAACTTGGAATGATTGTTTTTTCTTGTGATTTAGATTGGCCAGATTGTTTTATGTTACACTGCTCTCTCCCATGTTCATTTTTTGAAATGCTAACAACTATAGCTGGGTGATTAACTTGATTAATTGATTACCTATGAGCTTCAGTTACATCAATTAGTGTGACAAAATAATCGATTAAGTAAAGTTATGATTAAACTGATTAATATCATGAAAATAATCAAGAAATCCAAATTAGGGTTTCCAGTTATTACTATTTTCGTTTGTTATTACACACAAAACTACACAGTGGGTCGTCTGTATTCTGTCTGTGTCTACTGCTTGTATTAAATCTGACTTTTAGTACTGTTATTTTATTTTTTTTAACCCATTATGTGATAATGTTCAATTACTTGAATGTCATTGTTAAATGAGCCAGAGATTAATTGATTAGCAAATTCCACTAATTGTTCAGCTGTATTAACAGTGTTGTTATTTAATAAAGAAGCAATACCTATCCCTAATATTGTAGTGGTCACAGTATTAAAAAATATTAAAGAAAAAAAGATGCTATCTGGTTATTATACATCATAGATTGCAAACGTTATTAATATTTAGTGCCAAAATTGTACTCACCAAAAGTTTTTGTGATGCCATGGGTGCCAGGTTGCATCAGGAGTTTTAATGTAATTTTTGTTTAACTGGTATATTGAAAACTTAGTAACATACATAACCTTATCTGTAGAAGTTGGGTAATGGATTTATTTTGACCTTATTATGAAAAGCCAGTTGTGATTTTTATTTTCTAATAGATATGGAAGTAGTGCATGCCAAAGGAAATAACTGTCACTCTTGGCTTGTGTGCTATAGGTTTACAACCCCTGTTATACATGTATCTCGGTATCAGTATTTTGTCATTGCTAATCAAAATATATGTTCATGTAGTTTGTTTAAAATAACATGATTTTTTTTTAAACTAAGATTTTTAACTTCCTGGTTATGATCACTGAAAACACCTCAGTGATGTTTAAACAGCAATTATGAGAAACTTCAGTTAAAAGCTTCTGACATTACCAATATGTATTTTATAGAATTGAACTTGTTGCATTGTTTAGGGCAAGCTTCTCATCTTTGTTTCTAAGCTGTGTGAAAGTTGATTTTTGTGGAAAACAAATCGCATTGATTGGGTTGCTTCATGTTAAGAGATTTTTGGTTAAAATAATACATAAGTATCTGTGCTAGTAGCTGGACAGGTTGTCCAAATACTTTGTATACAGATATAATCCATTAACATTGCCTTTCAAGTCTACATGTATCATAAAGTGTTATAAGTTTAGTACAATGATTTTGTTGTAACATAATTGTTATAATTGATATTTTTAAGTAAAGAGCTTACAGTAAGTTGTATGTTATCCAGACAAATCTACCTGTCTTCAAATTGAAGGAATCTAGCGTGAGGAGACGTTATAGTGATTTTGAGTGGCTAAGAAGTGAACTAGAGAGAGACAGCAAGGTAAGAAGTCATGTAGTTTTGCTTTAATGTGAAGAAATTTGAAATTTTAGCAGGAGTATACAGCTCTATACTAATTTGTTAACTGTTTACTTTTCTTTGTTATTTCAAACAAATACAGATAAATACATACTTATGTACATAGTGTTTTTGTATTTTTTTTTTTTTTTGCTTTCCTAATATGTCAACTAAGCGTACATATAAATCTTTAATTTCATTTTTTATTTTCTTGCCAAATTTCTGAAGAAACTTTTTCAAACCAGAAACATAGTTGTACTTCACAACATTAATTATTAAAATATTTAGTAGCCAAACTGGCTGATGTTCAGTGAAGTGTATAATGTTCATAGCAAAAATATTTGTTAATCTGATGTGTTATCAAATACTACATTTACATAAATATAAATAAGTACTTGATGAATGATCATAAATCAAGATATTAGATTCACTCTGTCATCATATTATTTCAGATTGCTTGAAGGCTACTGAAGTAATACTATTTCCTTTTTCCATTTCCAATATTTCAGAAGTTGTCTTACAAACACTTTACAATGTACCTCATAATTTGAGAAGAACCTCAATTTGAAACCACCTGTTGGAATTGAACTAATGTAGGAGAATTTACCATACATAGCCATCTTTAAAGTCCATTAGAAGTTATTCTTTGCAATGTTTCATTTAAAAAATATCTGAGAAAAATTAAAACTCAAGGAAAGTTACTTTTTTTATCAGTTTAGGTTTATAAACCTGAGATAGTTTTAATATTCTTAGAACACTATAAAGCTTGTTGAAAACTGTATTTTTCTGTCCATTCTGATAAGTTTTCCACTGCACTGTCTTCCAGTAACTTGTGGTCTAGATATACATATGTTCGTACAACAACAATAGTAATAAATACATTAATCTCAAGGATAAGAAAGTGCTGTAAAGAATGATCCAGTAATCAGGGTCTTAATATATATAGTTTTTTATTTCTGTGATTTTGTTAGAGCAAAGAAATTTCTGATGGTGAAAATCTTAGTTTTTTTAAGCTAAGAATAAAATATCAACTATCAATTGTTTGAAACCAATGAGGCAAAATAAAATGAGAGAATCCTCAATAGCCGCGACACTTGAAATTCTTTTAGGTAGGTAGGAGTACAGTAAATTAATCTATGAAACCTTTTTTTTTCCTTTTTATTAACTATATTCTTGTGCACCAGCAATACCAAGTGTGGGGTGCACATATACTCAATTGAATTTTATTACTCATCATGATCTCTACCAGCCTACTCTCAAATTGAAATTCATTTATGCTGGATTAGAATAAATTCATCTGTAAGACTTTGGGTGAGGTAAAATACACCAGTTGAGAGGGTTTGATCTCCCGAGTCCAAAAGTGTAATTATATCTCAAATCAATCAAGAGATGACGAAGCTATGAGCTAAAAGTTTGTACTTGAAAAAAAAACAAAAAACTCTGAGCCATTTTATGAACCATGGCTAAAAATCACAATCAGTTTTAAAAACCTAATGCAGAAGTAGCCTTAGGAAGTATAAACCACTCTCTAATGAATTACAACACAATGATATGTAATTGAGTTACAGTTAATTTATGTATGGTAACAAGTACTTTAATAAATTGGCAATTAGTTAAATCACTCTGAAATTTAAAATATTCAGTTTTGTTGGAAAAAGAACTAATTGAGAAATGCATAATGTTAGCATGTTTTTTTCTTGTTATTTGAGGATGGTAGTTCATAAAATATTGCATAAATAATCCTTTAAAAGGCAGCTTGTACCATAATGTTGAACAGAATTAATTTGGAGGGGTGGTATGATTTTTCTAAAGGCTAAAAATATGAAACCAATAAAGATCAGGAAGAATAATTCATTCATTCACAGTTGTCCTAGGTTCAAACATGTCTTAATCCTCAACAGAAAAATATAGTCACATTTATATTGAATCATTAATTTTTTGAATCTTATCCTTAAATTCATACTAATTAAACATTTTATATTATCTTTTTTTTAGTATTGAAATTCTCGACATTCTTCAGATCATGTAAAGCACATTTTAAAATTTAGTGCTGTTTCAGCCTAGAATATTTATAAAAAAAATAGACTTTTATTTTAAATTGTGCATGTGCACTGTCTATTCAATAATTTTCGAGCTATATTTAGTAGTTTTTCCTTTTGATTTCTTTTGTTAGAAAAATACACAAAGTTTCAATGTATAGAATGAATGCCATATATTGCTTTCAGCAGTTTTTTTATCTTGTTAACTTATGATGGAAACTAAATAGAATAAGTTTATTACCTTCATACAATTCTTATTTAGTGGATTCTGAGGAGTTTTCTTTTATATAAATGGACTGACCTATTAATTATTCATTTAAGAATAACACTTATTATTATTTTACTGTGTAGATTGTAGTTCCACATTTACCAGGAAAAGCATGGAAAAGACAACTTCCTTTCAGAACGGATGAAGGAATATATGATGATGAGTTCATTGAAGAGAGGAGAAAAGGTCTTGAAATGTTTATCAACAAGTAAGTTTTATCCAAAACTTGAGCTTCCTGATACCTTGTATTAAAAGTTTTGTTTATATTGGATTTAAGTTGTGGTTTTGACCTTATTGAACAGTTGTAAGACAAAGCTACTAGAGCTGTCTGCTACCATCCTTAATTTTGAAGTGCAGATTAGGGGAAAGGCAACCAGCTGATAGCATCGTCTGCCAACTGTTGCATTTCTTTTTACCATTGAGTAGGGTTTACTATAATATTATAGTGCTCTCATGCTCTGTACAGCCCAATCGGTAAGATGTTTGACTCGTTAACTGAGGGTCATGGATTTGATACGTGGTGCCACCACACATGCTCACCTTTTCAAACATAAGGGTGTTATAATGTCACAGCTAATCCCACTGTTCATAAAAGAGTAGCCCAAGAGTTGGTGGTGGATGCTGCCATACATTTGTCTTCTCTTTGGTTAGCTGTTCATAATTAGGGACAGTGATATATAGCCTTAGTGGCATTGCCATAAATCAAAACAAAGAAATTGAAGTAACACCTACAGCTGAAAGGGGTGTGCACGTTTGTTGGGAATTGAACCTGTAACCCTCTACTCACAAGGCAAACACCTTAATCACTTGGTCATGCTGGCACAAAGCTGAACAAACTTAAATTTATCAGAAAAGTATTAAGTAGAAATCATAATATTTTGATTACTTAATGGATAGATGGAATCATAGAAAATAGTAGTAATTGGAAACACTAATTTCTGTTACATGAATATTTTTGCGAGATGTAACAAACAATTAAGCTGAACTAACTTGAATTAAGCAAAAATAATATTGAGAAATAATAATGACAATATTTTAATTATTTGGATAGTTGAAATAATCAGAAACCCTAATTTTGATTAGTTGATTATTTTTGGAATATTAATCAATATAATCATAATTTTGATTAAACAATAATTTCACATGTCACTAACTATTTAACCAGTGCTTGTAGATAACCAATTATATTGAGTTAGTTGCTCAGTTCTAATCGTTGGTGAGGTAGTATTATACAACACAAAATATTCGTACAGTTTTTTTTTTTTTTTTATTGACTATCTCTAAATCATTATTTAATAGAATACATTTTAGTTTACAGTGTCTATTAAAATTGGGCTGTTGGACCATCACTAGATCTGCAATATGCAGGAAGGTTTTGATTTTTATAAGTGGCAATATGGTATTTCGAATAAAGCTGGAACAGAGTAGTACAAACCACACAACATGGATCTTATTTACTTTCAATATTCAAACTGTCCTGTATGAAGAGAAAAATAAGATTACACAACCTGGGATATTGAGCATATTGACATCCAGACTATCATACATGGTTTATTGATATTATGACAGTTGTGTAGGAACAGAGCAGTAGAGACCACAGCATATAACTTTTTGCTATTAAAATTGTCTCATAGGAAGAGAGTAGTCCAGAACAAACAACGTGGAGCTTATGGATATTCAAACTCTGTGGTAGGAACAGGGCAGTAGACCACACAACATGCACTGTTTTTGATGTTAAGACGGACTTGAACAAACAGAGAAATAAGACCACGCAACATGGTCTTATCAGTATTCAGATTGTCTTGTAAGAACTGAGAAATAAGACCATATAATAATTCAGATTGTCTTGTAGGAACAGAGCAGTACAGACCACACAAAATGCAGTATTGTGATGTTTAGACTTGTCTTGAGTAACAAGTAGTATTATTAGTGTGAGGATTGACTATTCTGATTCTCTAAAGATGTTATAAATAATATAATAAGGAATTACAAGAATCAATGCTTGCAAATATATTGATGTAACTAAAGGTTGTATTTTAAAATTGGAAAAAAAAAGTGTTTTTTTTTAGTTTGGCAAAAGCAGTACCAAACTCACATTGTAAAATTTTCAGCAAGAACAAGAACTAATACCCTTTTATAGAAGGTAAATAATTGAAAAAATTTAATGTGTGTGTGAGGTTAATACTTTAAACTGATGAAACATTGTATTGTCTAATTCAGGGTTTCCAAATTTGCATCCTGGGTGAGGCCCCCAATCCAGTGGATCTATAGATATTGAGTACTTTACTTTCATGTTTAGAGAATGAACCAAATCCATTTTAAAAATTGCCCAATGTATATTTATTATATTAGCTACATCCCTTTGAAATTTTACTTCACCCCATTGTTTAGAACCCCTGATCTAATAATATGAAAAAAAACAAATTGTAATGAACTGAAAAAATTTAAAACAATAAAAGTACTTTTATTCATAACTAGCCTAATCATCAAAGATTTGTTGGTACATTGTATTGTAGTCAAATAATTATTAAAATAATAATCTATTTTTCTTTAATGGTTTAATATACATCTTCATCAGATCTTTCTTTTTTTAACTTCAGTATTGACTGTTAAGCCTTGTTTATTTATTTGTATGTTTGAGAACTAAATAAAAACTTTTTTTTTCTATCTCTACATTAGCTACGTTGAACTTTGGTTTTTGAAACTTATCCTTGTATTTTTCTTGTCTAATTTATAAGATTACTTGAATAATTCTTTAAATGAATTAAGTAGAAAAGTGAAAATACATTGCATTTTTCTGAAATGTCCATGCTGTAAGAAATTTCAGTTTTTGTTAACAAATATTAGTTTACAATTAAACAAACACAAATATAATAATAATGAGAACAAGGAACTCTGACAAATATTTATGATTAAGATCTTGTGTTAAAGATTTGATATTGTATTTTTCTAGGGTTGCAGGCCACCCATTAGCACAGAATGAACGCTGTCTTCATATGTTTTTACAGGAGCCAGTAATTGACAAAAATTATGTTCCAGGAAAAATTAGAAACTCGTGAATGGAATGTTGCTGATCATTATGGCATATGTCATCAGCATATTGTATTTTTTAAAAGGGACCTTTAAAAAAAATTATTGAATTCCATTTCGTATCATCATGTTGTGCATTGTTACTTTGGTTTTGATCAAAGTTTTTACACCATTTATCTTAAGTAAGGTAAAAAAAGTTAAAGTATTAGTTACCAAATATTTAATATATGTATGTATGTACGTACATTACTAATCAATAGTTGTATCTAGACTATGTATATTAATTGTTAATATATTTTATTTATTAAGATCTGATATATTATAAATGTGTGCTTATTTTATTTCTAATGTACATGTATATTTATAAAAAAAATAGTTTATACATTTACCAGTATAATGATTGTTATTTGATTAACATTTAATCCTATCATTAAAGGATTTAACTATTACTCCAGTTTCTCTTTCTCTTTTTCCATTATTTTAAGATGTGCTACAGAAATGAGTTAACTTCATACAATGTGTGTGTAATATGTAAAGACAAGTTTTGTTTCTTTCATTGTAATAGAAATCATGCTTATTATATTATGGAATTCTCACCCAAGTAAAACAAAGTGGGTGTAGGTTTAATGAAAATTATTTGACTTGGAAGTAGTGGTCTGACATTCTGTAGTCAATAACAGAGTATATTTACATGTACATCAAGAGCATCTAAGATCAATAAACTTTTCATGAATTGTGTGTGTGTGTGTCTATATATTTTGTTTTGAGATGAGACTATATTTTATTAATATAAATAACTTCATAGGTTAAATAATATCACCTATGGCACAAAAATTTGAAGTCAGAACTGTACCAAAGGAGCTTGGACTTATTTTGGTCTTGTTTTGGTGCAGTTGACCTGGCAGGGTCATGTCATCAGTTCGTTGTGTCACGTGAAAGAGTGTTACTTACTTTTGATTATAAACATGTAAAATGATAAGTAAAAGCTAGGCTCCTAGATACTCTTTCTATGCCCCTTGAACTATAATTTGAACCTTTCATGAAGCTGAAATATGAACTTGAGATAAAAGTATCTCAATTAATATAATTATTTTAACACTTCCTGATGCTCGTGTATCCTTTTATAGACATTAAAGAAGTAGATTACAACTAAAATAACTTACATTATTAATTATTTGAAAGAGTAATTTTTCATGCTGTTAGATTATTAACTTGGCAGTAACCCTTCAAAACATTTTCATACTTCATTTTATTTTTTGTTTTAACTTTTTAAAGAAAAAAAAAAGGAAAAACTGTTCGAATATTTATGTTAAACACATTTCTAAATATAAAGTTAACAAATATTGCTACTGACGATTTTGGAACTATGTTAGGTAAATTATTTTTGAAAAAATATTTATATCCACAATATTATGGTCTTAGTTTTTAGGTTGTTTTGTAAGTATTTGATGATAAAGTGTAAAATGTTGTCTCCAGTAATTGTAAAGTTTTGGTTAAAGTTTATTTTCCCATTTATAGCTAGATTAACTAAAACTTGTGTGAATAACATTTATGGTAGGCCATGTTATAATTGTGTAAAGTCTGTGTATGTTTTATTAAATGCACTGTGTGTGTGTGTGTGTGTGTATGTATGAATAGTTTTAGTTCGAGATGCATCATTTTTCTACTTTTGTTTAGAATATGTTTTACATTTTGGAATCTTTAAAGAAAAGACTTAAAACGTTGACAAATATTTGATTTCAAAGGTTTATGTGGATGTTCACATGGAGATGACTAATGTGTCTAATCAAATTAAATTTACTCATGTTTTGAAATATTGTAAATCAAAGAATAGTAAAAAGTATTTTCTACACTCAGAAAAACCTGTTTGAATGTTTCTTATCAATCATAAAAACTACCAATGTATTAAATCCTGTATAGCTCACGTGCCACACTGTGATATTGCCAGTTATCCATATAAAACTATCACTAGTTCCCATGCAATACTGTATTAATATTCATTGTTTGTTATCCTATGAAATTGAAAATTACCTGTTACCATATATCAATTCATGAGTATAATCTATTACTGATAGAACACTTCTATTATATAACACTTGAAGAACACCGGTATTGTTTTATATTGGAGGGGGAAACTGCCCCAGATTTAGAGTTCTGTATTTTGGAGCTGGTAAGCTGAGTTCTAATATGTACGTTACCAAAAATATCCCCCCCCCTCACTTTCATTCGTGGTTGCGTTATAAGAGTGACAGTCCATCCTTTAGCATGAGCGTTAGGGTGCTCCTGACTGGCTACCTTCCTTCTGGTCAATAGTTCAAAATTAGGGATAACAGCAGATAATCTTAGTAGTTTTGACATAAATACAAAAATATCATATAATAAGCTAATGAATATTATCCAAATAAAAACGTGTCTGTTATTGATTAGCATCTACTCTGCGTTTTGACCAATTTTATTTGTTAACGTGTTTTCAAGTTGTTCAACTAAACTGCTAGGATCTCTTGGGAACTAGAAGTCGTAAACTCGTACATAAAACTTAAGTGGTGTACCAAATGAATAACTTGTGTGTGTATTAGAGAGTTTTCAGAATGTACAAAAAAATCGTTACTTGTTTTAATGTTACAATAATTAAATTAATATAAAGCATTGTATGTGTATAAGAAAAATCTATGTGAATTTATGTTAAAAAGTCAACAATAGATGGCGGCAGTTGTATCAAGTTTAATACAGAAGATCAAGGTGTATATCGTGTGATAAAACATCATGACTGTCATGAAACGTTATATGCTATTTCACAAGGATTTTAGACCACTAGACAAAGTCGTAAGAAGGACACCAAAAGTGTGGAATTCAGCTAGATGTGGGCTGTACCTATTTTGAGATACGAATATTCGCGCCTCCACGCAGAACAAAAAACTATCGCAACCAACTCATTCAAGGGATTATTTTCAAAGCATTTTTATCGTAATCGTCCTCGCGTAACTTTACTGGTTGACGGAGCGACCTCTCATGGGGTTTAATAACTGCCAACACTTATATTTTTCGTCTTCTTTGTATATTTAGGAGGACACTGTATTAGAGTTCATGTTATTAAAATGGGGAGAAGTGCCCCCTTTTTAAAAAGTATGCGAGCAATGGCCCTTTTACTCCCCTGTCTTCAGCGTTTACGACTGTAGTATTAAACAGCCATAATACAGTGTATATGTAGAACATCTTTCGTGCACAAATCCTATTGTAAACTTTAGTTTTCATATTACCCTGACATCTCGAAGTCGTGGTGTTCTATTTAATTTATAAGGTAAACTAGTTGTTGCATGCTTTGAACGAAGATTGTTAGACCGTTAATATCAAGGACAATTCAAATGTGTGGGCTGAGCCTTGGATTAGTTTGAAACTTCTACACTGAAAGTTAAGTGTCTAAACTGGTTCAATAACTCGATTACAATTCGAAATAAGGTCTGGTGGCTTGGGCACTCAAGTCGTGGGCTTGAATCCCGACAACGAACATGCTCACCCTTTTAGCCGTGTGGTCGTCATTTACCTTATTACTAAAGAAACACACACACACACACATATATATATACATATACTATGCACAACTCAATCTATTTCTTGTTAAAACCATTTTCCAGGACATGTGGATGAATGAGCTACCAGTAGCTATGTACTATCAATAAACTTTGACACTTTTAAATTGCTTTCTGGTCAACAAGTAAATTTCTGTATTAGAAATGGTGTTACGAAACAACCCATTCTGCTGTGGTAATGTTGACTATTGTCAATGTGTTGATAGTTATAGAAATACCGGGACAGACTTTAAATTTAAATCCTAAATATATGTCTTTTTCATTGTACGTGAACAATTATAAGCCTAACCATTTTAAACTAACGTAAAGAGGAAATCATACGAAACAATTATTATAATTATTAATTCAAAATCTCATTGTTATCATATGGTAGGTCTCGTGAAGTGAAAACAATAACAACTAGAGGGACACTCAGTAGAGCGCATACCTCCATCATGGGGGCTTTGATCATATTCGGTTCTCAAAAAATAAGAAAATATGTCCGTCGTTATCAACGGACATATTCTACATCTGTTAACCAAGTTTCATGAAAATTCGATCACTTTTGACTGAGTTATAGTTTGATATATGTTTGTTTTAGAGCAAAGTCACATTGAGCTATCTACTATGCCCACCGCAGGGAATCGAACCCTGTACATCCGTAGACTTACTGCTGTCCCACCAGGAGAACGAATGAGTTTAGAGCTAAAATAGTGTTAAAAATTGGTCCTCATGTTAACAGATAGGGATTTTTTGGATGTTAGCGACTTTGACCATCCAAAAACTAATCACTTCTAAATTGGGTCATAATCCAAATATAAATCAACTTTCGTTCAAATTTATTCAGCCGTTTTCGAGAAATCTTGCTGAAAAACAAACACACACAAGGGGTGAAAACATAACCTCCATCCACCTTCGTTGCAGGAAATAACAACTAAATCATATAGTAGGAATACATGTAATCTTAACACCAGCAAATGAAGGATTGGTTGAGTTACAAGTAACATAAGAAACGTAAACAAACAGATGAGTGGTATTTCTTTGTCTATAATTCACGAGAATTTAATAACTGATTGTTTTACAAAACATAATTTATCAAATATATTTAATACCGTTTATAATGCGCCTTCATTACGATATTTCTGTCAAATACCAGACCTCAGTTTAGACTATCCTACCTGTTATAGTAATAATGGTCCGGTATTGGTCTAATGGTTAGTGTGTTGGACTGCAAATTGAGGGATTCTGGGTTCGAGGCGTGACGCCTCTGAACATAATCGCACTTTCCATTATGGCTGAAGAGCTGGACAAGAGCATTGTGGCTGGCTTAATTTCATATTGTCAGTAGTTTAAAATTAGGGATGAGTATATCTCAATCCTGGGCGTCTCTGACCTGACAAGGGCTGGACATTTGACCAGGCCCCTGCACTATCGAAGGGGCTCATAGCCAAGGTTAAAATACATAAATATATTTTAATCGCTATTTCAGAGCTTAAAATCCAATTCACTTGTTCCATGATCTCGCTAGCTAAACACTGTCGTCCCTTCTGGTTTGCCCCCCAGTGGCACAGCGGTATGTCTGCGGACTTACAACGCTAGAAACCGGGTTTCGATACCCGTGGTGGGCAGAGCACAGATAGCCCTTGTGTAGCTTTGTGCATAATTAAAAAAACAAACAAAACAAACAATCCCTTCTGGTCACGCGCACGCGAGATGGTGAGAGAGAGAAAAAACTAACAGACAGAAATGGAGAAACTTAGCGATGCAGGAAAACGACAAAAAACAAAACAACAACAACAATGGACAAGCAAGCAAGTTAAAGTTGGTACCTGTTCGAGGCTGCAGTTCCTTATTTGGTCTCTGTTATTTGTTTGAATTTCATCTCTCACTTTGAGAGTAAAATCACCTGGATATTTTAGTTGTGCAACATTATTTCAAAGCTGGAATAGTTACCTTCAAAGTTAAGTAACTAGTACTATGGTACAAAAGGGCATGAGAACTACCCTCAATCTGGCATGTAGGGCGAGTCTATTCAGGTTCCTGGACTGGGGGGGGGGGCATTATCACGGTTGGATTAGGAGGAGAGGGCAGATAGGTGCAATTGTCTCAGGCTCCCCCGACTAAGAGAAGAATAAAAATAATTAGTCAAAAATTAGATGTTTCATTGAAAAA